AAAAAATTGACGTTTATAGATAATGAGCTACCTATAACCTTATTTATGTGTCATCTTAAATTTCTCTGACAACAGTTCCTAAATTTTTTAGTTCATTGCAAAAAAAATAAAGTGAAAGGAAGGGAGAGATGAAGGGAGGGAGGAAAGGAAGCACAGAGGGAAAGAAGAAAGAAAGAAGGAGGAAGGAGAATAAGGAAGGAAATTTCTTAGGGCAATGATAAGCAAGGGAACAGGATCCCTTCCTGATGGTAATTAGTTTTGTTCTGCACAGAAAATTGTATTACCATTGTCTTGTCAGCCAAAGGTTGCTCTGGTTCATAAATTTTATTCTGCCCACAGACTAACCTAGCTAAAGTAAATAATTTTCCCAATTTATAATTGTGCTTTCCTTTAATCTGCTCATTATTTTCTATATTATTGCAATAAGCGCTACAAAATTGCATGTTTCATTACCAATTCAGCATCTCTCTGAATGATGCATCTCTCTGTCAATTCTTTATCCATCCCGCAGGAAAGTGCTATCTCCCTCTATCCTTCATGCCATAAAACCTCCATCCAATAAAGAGTAGTTAATTTTTGATCAGGAGAGCAGGGTCCTGATATTTTTAAAACACTAGTAATATTACAAGAATACAAAAATAATATTTTATTTGTCAATGTGGGATGATGGAAAGAATGTCAGATTGGGAGTTAGCAGATCTAGAGACCTGTTAGCAGTGTGACCGTGGGTATGTCCCTTTATCTTCCATGGTTCATGTTCACCACCCTTAAGCTGGGGATTTAGCTCAGTGGTGTAAGCGCCTGCTTGGCAAGTGCTAGGTTGTGAGTTTGATCCACAGTACCAATAAAATAAAATATTACCCATCTACACAAATCAAAGAATTAGAAATATTTGTAAATTGTAAAGAACTACACAAATATGAAATATTATTATTCAAAGTAGCATAAATCTTAGAAGACCCAGCTTCTGCTCTCGGTCATGTTGCTAGGTATTTCCAAAGGAAATGCACAAATCGAACCTACTCTTTGTGAACCTGTATTTTCTATTGGTTTCCCAGATAAAGCCTCTTTTCCATCTTTGTGTCTGTGTGAGTATTTTTGTTGTTGTTGTTCCATTTTTATTTTTGCTACCTGAGCTATTGATTTTGTAGCTTTCCTGAATAAAGAGAACTGGAAAGTTTCATAGGCAGAAATTAATCTCCATACGTGCTATCATTCCATCATTTCACTGCACAGAGGGAGACAGCCTACAGAACCTTAAACCTGTTTTTAAAGACCTTAGTGATATATGAACATTCATTTCCAAGCGCTCCCACTGGAGTCATTCTAATCTGGGGAGCTCTGGGGACTGTTAGAACACTGTCTATATGAAGTCGTTTCTCAGGCATTTCTTCATGTCATGTAGCCAACAGGCTGAATCAACCTCATGCAGTAATGAAAACCTCCTGTATTTATAGCAGTATTTCTCCAAGGAACATCCTTCGGCAGGAATGCCTGAAAGAGTTCTAAGAATTGAAGGACATATTTCAGACATGTCTAACCTGTCTCCAAACCCCTATAAAAATGGTCAGGATACCAAATTGTGTCTTTCCCCACCTTGTGCTGTAAAATGAAATGGGAGGGTTGTTTGGCTTTATGGCTTTTCATGTCATTGTGTCTTCTTGCTATTAGGTGGGTGTAAAAAAAATAAATAAAAATAAGCTATATTAAGCATTATGCCATGTCACCACCTCGCCAAGCAGCTACAAAACTGAGACTATGAATTATGTTTTATCCTAAGGAATCTTTTGAGGCATCAGTCTGTACAAAATAATCTATAAGCATATAATTTTTAGACCCCCCCCAAACAAAACTTTTAGCAATAGATATACTGAAGGGAGGAACTTTAGGGAAGATTACAGCAAACTGATGCTTACATTTTCTGTTTCTTAAAGTGTAGAGGGGATAGATTTGATGTGCTTTAAGAGACTTGAAATAACATAAATAGTTTGCACTGAGAGGTTAATTATTTTACAATAGAAAATAAAATACATATTTTTCCAAAACTCCCATGGAAAGCCTTTATTCAAAGTGACCTAGGAGAAGTAAGGGTCCCGGGACTCTGGGATGAAGAATTATGGGTCATGTCTTTGGTCCCTGCAGGGCTGGAGGAGGAGACCTTCCCCAGGGCAAGGCACTCATACATCAAAGGCTAAACTAAAGGCCTCCGTTTCAGAAAGGCAGGATATTACCACACCCCACCTGGAGATTGATGGGGTAGATTCAATCCATTGGTCATGGATTTTTGCCCAAGGACTGGGGAAAAATTATTATCCAGATAATGGTGTTTTCAACCATCTGTTTTGCTGTGCTATTCACATTTGGAGACTCACAATTTTGGATTGTATAAATGCTCAAAACACACATTAAATAGGTGAAACGAGTAAAGATAAGAAGTGCCCCTTGATCATCCTCTATCATGAAGACTGAACAGAGGCACTACGTCTTGGGCCCCTACTGTGTGGCAAACACTGGAAAGATATAACCATGCTACCATAGTGTGGCAGAAAGGGTTCTCTGCCCTCTCCATTCTCTTCATCCCTTCTTACCTTCTCCCAGATGACTATAGTGTGGTTACTCAGAGTGATGTTACCAGAATCAGGCCAGAGGAACCAGTTTGCATTATGGGTGCTCTACTCTGAAGAACCCAAAACACCATCCCTATATCAGCAGGATGGATTGCCTATGTCATTGGGCCTCATTACACTGGTTAAAGATGGAGCAAGAGATTCACCAACTTTAGACAACCCTAGTGCCTTGCAAATTGAGCTGGGCCACAGGGGTACCACAGAAGCAGAAAAAAGACCAGGGGGGGTGGGGGGAGTATACTTGGATCCCCATAATTCATGAGACCTGAAAAGTAACCTAATGAGAAAGTTTTGTACAGCGCTTTGGACATTGTACTCATGACCAGCTTAGACTGAGTTATTCTAAGTAGACATCTTTTCAAGCCTTTCCAGAAGTTTCAGGGTCTTAGAATCCTTACTACAACCTACAAGTTCAAAAAAAAGAAAAAAATTGAAGACCAGAGAAATAATGACATTTGCATTAAAAAAAAAAAATATCTAGCCAAGATTCTGGCCCAAGGATGTCCGACTTCAAAGCCCGTGTCTTGGTCACCAGTCAACACACCCTGTCACCAGTGACAATTCTTCCGCCATATTTTTCCTTTGCCACTAATGTACATGTGCTAGATAAAAATTCAGTATCCATCATTCTCTTCAAATAGGCATTTGTGTTGTGGGTATGTTGATTCACATATTTCTAAATGTGCTGCAGTATTTGAAATGGTTTCCTCCACTGTTCATTCTGCATGTATTCAACACGCAGCCCCTGAGTTCTTAAACCACGCCAGGCATTGTGCTGGGTGCTTACGAAAGTCCAGTGGAAGAAATCACGTTAAAATGGTTTCCCATGGTGTAGTAAGGCGGAACCAAGAGATTAGAGCTTGCTTACTGAGCTGCAATCCACATGATTGGTCTATAATTTCCCATTTGATTGACAAGAAAGGGCTGAGTGACTGGCCCCAAGGTCAAGCAGCTAGCTAGTCAGCAGCAGTTCATTGTGCTTCCTTTATGGTCTCAGACATACCAGGTTTTCGTGATTCATCCGCCCTTAGTAGCCTTCTGTAATGTTCAAAACATATTTTTAAAGTTGAAGGCCAAAAAAGCTAAAGCATCAAAAGCTAACGTTAAGCTAGATCACATTTCGACTGCCGGCTTCAGGAGCAGCAGAGCACCTACAAGGTCTGGCTCTCCCCCAAGTGTGTTCCCAGGAGATGAGAGCAGTTAATTCTGCCCTAAATGCACGCTGTGTCCTCCTCTGCTCAGTGGCCCTCCATCCAGGCTGAGGCTTAATTGGTTTGGGTTGGGTAATTCATAGTGCCTCATTAGGGCACCGAAACACATACCAGGCTCTCCGGTAATTTTCTCCCCTGAAAGAACATGGGGAAAGAATCAGCTGAAGGACTCTTGGGTTTGTGCAGAGAGATTAGATCTACAATGGACAATTTCAAAGCATGTTGTTCAGTGAGATTTCTCTGAAGCTGTCGATCAGATTTCTCTTCTCTTACTAAACTTTCTCGCACATCCACCCAGTAGAAGTGAGTATTAGCTACCTTGCAGAAATTACATAAATTCTTTGGTGTCTTAAAGTTTTTACTTGCGTGTGTCTCGGGTTTCTTTTCTCTGATTTGCATTTTGCTGTTGCACTGATTAGGAAAACCACCAACAGGTGGCTTTTCTGCTCGTTCTAGTCGCTGATTACTCTATCTCCTGCTTGCTCAGGGACAGGCTGAATTGGGGACCCATCCACACCCACCCCCCTGAAAACACTAAAGCAGGTTAACTGTGAGCATCTATAATTTCTCTGCTTGTGTGCTCTGGCTGCCCTCTGGCAGGTGAAACTGGAAGCACTGTGATGTGGGTAGGTGTCCCCAGAGGCAGCCCTCCAGTGGCAGAGGGGATTTGGCTGTTAAATACCCCAAGCCTTCTCCCTCCCAGTCAGGGTAATTCTGAGGTGTGCTGTAACCCTCTCCCAAAGCTCCCAGGCAGAACCGGTGACAACTCAATGATCAAACTCTGCTGGCCTCTTTTCCCTTCCGTGCCTCACTTTGCACTCTACTGCCAGTGTTTCCTGGAGCCAACTCCCAAATCTGCCACTTTTATTTGACTCATAGAACTAGTCTGCTATTAAGAAAACTAACACAAAATATTCAGCTTGTTCCTGTCGATCTTTGGACTTCACCACCTGACATTTAAATCTCGGGGCCATTTAACAGCTATTTGACTCGGAGGGAGCCAAGATGTCTCCGTTGACTGTGTTCATCCAAAGATGCAGGCACGTTTGATGGGTCTGGGGGCTGATGGAGCAGACTTCCCAGGAATCTGTTTCCATCAGAGCGCAAAGAACTTCCTGGGAAATAATTTGCCTTGAGAAAAGAAAGACTTGAGACCAATCAGTTTTGTTACAGAACTTTAATCAGTGTTGGAAAGACAAGAAGTACACTGGGTTGATTCTGAGTGGAGCCTCAGTAGACCGTCTTCATTCTATGCATCAAGATTTCCTTACCCCATCCGTGGTCTTCTGAAGCTCTTCTAATGGGAGTGGGGGGAGCACTAGAAAAGAAAGAGTGATTTATAAGCTGAAATTAAATGGTTGTCTTTCTATAGTTGCCGAAAGAAGTCAAGACAAAGGTTTTGCTCTTGTGTTCCATTTTTATCCTCAATTTGATATGCCATCGGGAAAGTCTAGTGACATTTCTATTAGCATTCCATAAATAAAACTTCTAGATAGATAGATAGATAGATAGATAGTAGACTAACTTGGTGCAACAAAGACATCCAATTCCTAGAAACCTGCCAACTTTTATCTTAGAATAATATTCTGGGACTTTCTTAGTGAAACAAAATAAAACCACTGCCTTCTCGCCTATAAAAAAATATATACATATTAGACATATTGCTACTGACAGCCTGAAGGTGCCGACCTGCTGGCTTGCTTTCTTATCCCTTGTCTTCACCTACATCTGATATGATCCCTAGTACCAGCATGAACAAAATTGTGAATGGGACTTACTTACGGGATCACGGATTCTGAGTCCTCCAGGAGTGTCCCACGATGCCCCTGTCAGTTGGTTTTGCCTTCGGGCATCTAATTTAACTGACAATAAGGAATCACACAGAGGCAGCCACCTCCCCAGTGACTTCGCAGATGGGAGCCATGCAGTGAGTAAGTTATTCCAGCAAGTTTGACATTGCCTTCTGTTGAACATTTTCCTGACAGGCCTGTTCATTTCTTAATGGCATAAAACATCTCACTGTTATTAGGCATAAGTCTCCCTTGACTTGATAAATACCACAGTCCCTTTTCTGGCCATTTTAATGACGGTCTTAAAGGCATCTGAGTATGGCATTTTACATTTGGCAGAAGCTTATCAACAATAATTGTTTTCTAATTAGCTTTGGAAGCTTCAGCCTTAAATGCACATCCTAACAAGTGAAGGATATTGGCAAGTGCACTTTCGTGAGTGGACAGGGCTAGGGAGAGCATTCATACTGCCTAAGCACATGAGGGCACCTTTTACAAAAATCAGCTTAGCTGCAAATGTAACCAGAAATCAAATCATGCCTTGGCATTGTGCCTAGCAGATATTATATAGTCGTTAGTTTCAATCACAAAAATGATTACTTCAAGTTATGGTGCAGACCAGTTTTAAAAGTCCTCAGGCTGGCAAAGACTTCCTGAGATGCTGCTAGCTGCAAAAATCAGTAGATGAAAGAAGTGCAGTACTTTATACTTTCAGCTTTTATTAATAATTTGCCAGTCAATTTGGCAATAGGCACAGAGCCCTGGCACTATACCAGGTGCCATGTGTACAAAGCCAAGAGAGTACAACTGCATGAAAAAGACATGCACTCCAGCCCAGAAAATCTGAAGTCTCCACGGAGAGGCAGAACACACTGAGCAGATAGGCCCCAAACAGAAAAAAAGAGAGGATTTTAATAAAAATGAGATTGTGTATGAGAAGCAGTTAGTTCTGTATCAAGGAGGCCCACTGCAGCCCTACGTGAGGAACAGATATTATGATTTTATCAGAAGGCTTGTATAACTATACAAATCCATAATTTATATAACTAATAATTATATAACATTCATGTCTTATGTAGAGATGTTATATAATAATTCATAATTATTCGTGCTTAGATAAGTCCTGAAAGAGAACAGGCTTGAGTTAGAGGCAGATGAGTTATGCACCAGATTATAAAGATTTGAAGGCTGGGATTGGACCAGAAAAAGAGATGGGACCCTTCCCATCTGAGAGAGCCACGGAAGCCACAGCACAGGGCCAGAAAGAGGTTGATTTCATACGAGGGCAGCAAATCCAGCCAGTCTTGAGAAAAAGGCTCCATCAAAGAGAGGTTAGAGTAAGATGTTATCAAGATAGAAAGTGAACTTCTACCTTAGGTCTGGCAGAGTTTAAATTTGACAGTCAGAAAATTAGAATCTACAGGTTCTTGTGAGCAGTAGCTACATAACTTGCAAAGACATGCATATGCAGAGTTCTCCTCTTTTTATAAGTATTAAGAGTTTCAAAACCGTGTCGGGAAAACATGAAAGCAGGCTTAGGACTCTTCTGTGTACACAGCGCTGTGGAAACGCGAGGGTCAAGTGCTCGTGGAACCAGTCCTGTTTTCAGCACATGATGCTAAAAGATGCTTTCTGAAGACTGTGACCCTCTCTGATCAGCTCCAGAGAGTCGCTGGAAAAGAACAATATTTGAGATAGAAAGATATACAAAGTCACTCCTGGTTGTCATTTGCCAGGAGAGACTGAAGAGACAAATCTGGGGGAAGATTTAAGTTAAGCAGAGAATTTTAAAAAGGAAAAATATAACAAGGGTTTGATGAAGTGACCAGCTCATTGGCTTAACTGATGGTGGTATTCCCACTGCAATATGTGCTCTCTGATATACCAGCACATGGCCTGCCTGCACCAGATGGCAGCTCCAGAAGGACACAGGGTTTTGTCAGTCTTGTTCATTTCCATTACCCAGGTCACACATAGTGTCTGGCGTATAGTACTCACTAAATAAATAATAAATGCATACACACAAGAATGAATAAATAACCTGATGGCAGACTCCTTTCTAAGATTCTCTGTGATTGTCCTCCCACAAATTAAACTCTTTTAAAATTATCTGAAGTCTGTTACTTTCCCAGCCCTATTCATGCTATTTGTATTTGTTTTGTAATCATGTAATTTAATAAGTGATAGAAACCAATGAAATGTGGGTGTGAAGAGAGTTGTTTTCTTAAAAACTTGGGTAAATACTAGGAAAGACTTCATGGTGAGCTATTGGGGACAATGCTATCAATGAGATGTGGGAAAGGTGAAGAGTTGGGCAAAATGAATAAAATTCTAGAAATCTTCTTTGAAATTGCTTTGCAAATGTCTCTAGATTCTCACTCCACTTTAAATAGACTAAAACTGAACACTGTGGACTGTTTCAGTGTTTAACATTTAAAAAAATGATACAGACCCCATGTACTGGATCCATGCATAAAGAAACCTCACTCCTATATCACAGGACAGGAGAAGGAGTATAATTTGTACATAGAATGTAGCTAACTTTTTCTATGATTTCTTCTTTAACTGAATATTTTAATAAAGTAATCAACCACTAGATCTGATTTTAACAGAACACTAATATAAAATAAAATTGAATAAATATGTCAACTAATCTGAAGAAAATAAATCAAAGTGTCAGCAAATTATACCAATAGCTTATAGCTTATATGTATTTTATTATAGTTATAAGTTATATACAATAGATTAATATCTATATAATTTATATAAAATAATAATTATTATTTTAACGTGTATAGTAACATTTTAATTTAACTTGTATACTAACATTTTAATGTATTTCAAATTTTCTATTGACCATTCTTTGAATTTCCTATTCTAGAAAATCCTTTTCTGACTTTGAGTTACCTGGGAGATAAATTTTCATCAAAAGGCTGCTTGGTGAGCAGAGAGTAAAAATTACTTTGGGAGGATATTTTATATAAACCCAAGAAAAGCCCAGTGAAATACCCAGGGACTGATTGTATTACTCTAATAGCAAGGTAATGGAGTCCTCAAATTCAGGACCCTTTAACACCAAAACCATGAGTTTCTATGCAGCAGAGAGAGTGATTAGGGCAAAATCTATGCAGTAGGGAGAACGGCCTCCAAAAATGTTACTTTGGACACTGACTGTGTCATCCCTGGAAACTCTAAATATGTCCCTTTGCTTGTTGAAATGGGCTGCATGGATAGAATTGTTGCTAGGGACCTGGATTACCCTGGTGGATCTAGTCTAATGACATGAATCCTTAGATGGAGTAAGTTGTATTTTCTGTTGAATACCCATAATAGGGTTCAGACCACACAATGCCAAAATATCGTATGTTCATACTTGAGAAAGAAACAAAAAGAGGAAGGAAATTCTCAGATTCCTCTACCACTGACTCTCCTGAAGTAGGCTAGAAACCTAGCTGACCTTCCCCTAAAACAGACCATTAAACCTTCATTCCAGATAAGCCACCCTTTCTGTAAGAAGAGACTATCGGTGTCTCTGAAGATATAAGAATGCAGAGAAGCTGAACAAACAGCTTGGTTAAATTTCCTCCAGTTTATTACCATTGCATCGCAACCCCTTTGTCCAATCGTATCTTCCCACCACTACCTGCTTCTTCATCCCTTAACAAAATATACCACTTTCCATTCCTTTGTGTCCTCATTTCTGTGAAAACACACAAAAGGATCCTGTGTCATATAAAACTTCCATTGATTAAAGAGCATGCTTTTCTCTTATAATCTGTCTTTTATTATTGGGGCCTCAGCCACAAATCTAGCATGGATGAGGAAAATAATCTTCCCAAGCCAGGGTAATGGTGTGCACACACGCTCCTGGTATTCAGTAGACTGAGGCAGGAGGATCATTTGAACCTAGGAGAGCTAGGCCAGCCTGGTTAATGTAGTGGGATAAGAAAGAAGAAAGAAGAAAGAAAGAAAGAAAGAAAGAAAGAAAGAAAGAAAGAAAGAAAGAAAGAAAGAAAGAAAGAAAGAAAGAAAGAAAGAAAGGAAGGAAAGGAAGGAAGGAAGGAAGAAAGAAAGAAAGAAAGAAAGAAAGAAAGAAAGAAAGAAAGACTTCCCTATACTTTCTCTTTACCTATAATCATCTTTATATTTTCTATATGTCAAGCTTGACCATATAATTCAGATATACATACTCAGTCCCCTAGAACTCTGAAGAGAACTCTCATGAACTCTCATGAAACACACAGTAAGAGGCAGCACTACAGAAACGCTGGCCCGAACCAGCCAGTGACAACTTGTCAAGCGTGGGTCAGTGATGAACACAAGAAGAGGGTCCAAGAAAAGCCCTTCCCTTTCCCTTCCTTCCAATCCCACCATCGTTTCCACCCAGTATGCTGTGCCATGACTGCTCATCCTCTTCTCCAGCAGTAACATAAAGAGTAGGTCAGTGTCCTCGAGCCATCTGACACCTGTACAGCTTTTTCCTGATGAAAGTCCAAATGCACTTGGTTTTCCTCCAAATATGTGCAAAACACATTATGCTCCTTTGATTGAAATTATGTACAGGGTCATATGTTTACTTTGCGTGATATCTTAGCGATAACAGTGTTTGAATCACCTGTCTGGTGTTCCACTGCCCCTGCCCTTTTAATTGCATTTGGTGGGGGAGATGTACACACACAACTGTGCTTTTGTTTTCTGTCAGATTATTTTCCTAGGTGAAGCTGAGCACATAAATACTGTGTTTTGATTTCCTATTTCTACTATAATAAATCTTCACAATTTTAAAGCTTTATAAAGCATTTATTTATGACTGTAAAAAAAATCAACAAAAAATGGAAAGGCTTAAACAGCATGACTTCCATGGATCAGAAGTCTGGACAGAATTGGTTTCTCTAATCCATGGCTCATAAGGCCAAAACAAGATGTTGGCAGAGTTGTTTTTATTCTCAGAGATCTGGGGAAATAATCCACTTGGAAGGTGATTCAGGTGATTGCCAGGATTTCCTTCTGGAAGTGATGGGATTGAGGCCTCCTTTTTATTGGCTATCCACAAGGGGATACCCTTTGCTCCCTGTACACCTTGCACAGATTCTTGAAGTCTCCCTGATTCCCTCTCTTGTCTCCTATTCTACTCTGACTCCAGCCAAAGAAAATCTGACATTTTGAAGGGTTTATGTGACTTGATTGAACTTGCTTGGATAACCTGGTTCCATAACCTTGGTTCATTTCAAGACACAAAGGAACATATACATTCCAAGGATGAGAATCGGAATATCTTTGGAGGCCATCTGCCTATCACATAGAATTTACCAATTTTGCTTTTTCTTTTCAGACATTATGTGTGATTTATTGAAAAACAAAATGAATACACTTTAGGATATCTCTATCTTTGAGTGTATTTTCTGGAAAGTGTATGAGCATTTATTGACATCAATACTGCACCATTTTATACTGCATTAACAGGTCTCCTCTGCATGAATACTTTTCAGAGTATTTTCAACATAGTGGCTTACATAGGTATAATTTCACTTCATTATTACTTGAGTGTATTTGATGATAACTATGTATACCAAATGCTTCCCCACCTTGCATACCTAGGCTTTGACCACAAGGTGACATTGTTCTGAAAGTTAGCATCTCTGTCAGCTGAATTTTTTCCCAACATTTCTTATATGCAGAGTTACTCACCTGTGTGAGAGGAATTTTATATTTATACATTGAAAGCCTTGCAGTGAATCTTTTTCACATTGTCTACATACATAGGGGTTCACTTTTGTGTGCATTATTTCCTGTATTTGATGGCAGTTTTGTGCACTGAATGCTTTCCTCCTTTGTTCAAATGCATAGGGTTATTGCACAGAGTGAATTATTTCAAGCCTTTGACAACCACTCTGGTGGCAGAAAGATTTCAAATATTGCTTACATCAAAGAACTCACAATGGGGAGAAACCCTAGGCAAGGAAGCAATTTTGCTTCTTGTCACCCTCCACTCTGAAAAAAACACTTGTCGGGGTAAAAGAACACTGAGTTTGGGGACTCTGTTACCTGGTCATCAGAACAGGATGTTCAGTCACAAACAGGAATACTGCACTGGATCTTTCTAGAATTTGCATAGAACATCCTTCCAACACAACCTTTTACTGTGCTCAAGCAGCATTCTGACTCAAATTTATCACCCAAGCAAACTGATATCAGGAAGGGACTTTTTAGGATAGTGAATGCAAATAGATTAATATCAATTTTTAAATATAGTAAATATAGGTATAAATTAAGGTCTTAGCCCATTTGTGCTGCAATGGAAGACCAGAGTCTGGATAGTTTATGAATAATGAGAAACTTGTATTTTACCGTTCTAGAGGTTGAGGAGTCCAAGATCAATGCTCTGGCATTTGCAGTCTGGTGAGAGCCTTCTTGCCACATTCACACATTGTGGAAGGCAAAAGGACAAAGGGAAGAGCCTAGCTACTCCCCTCCTGCTCATTTATAAGGCACTTATCCATGCATGAGGCAGCCTTATGATCTAATTGCACCCCAGAAGCTACACATCTTCATATTGCTGTACTGGAGCTTAAGTTTCACCATGAATTTTGGAAGAGACACTAACATTTAAACCATAGCAATTAGTTTATGAATTACTACAAATTACAAATGTTTAACATATTAAGATATATTGAATATATTAAAATGGTAGTGTACTGGCTTATTCATTGATGCCAATTGGATTTGGCAATATGATCCAGGAGCCAGAACAATGCTCTTGGTTGGGCATCCCTAGAACATCCATTTCCTAACTCTCCTGTGGTGGTTTTAATAAAGTGATCCTCTGGAAGGTGGAGTCAACAGATTCTGGCAGTGTTCTTACCACAGACCTTCCTCCCGCAGAATTAGCACTAGAAATGGCATTGGAAAATAATTTAACTAGCTGTTAACTGATATAACAGCATATAAGCTTCTCTAAGACTGTTTACCAAGACAGAATAGGTAGAAGCCCAGAACCTTTGAAAGGACACCCGTTATTATCAGGCAGGAAGAGAAGAGTAAGGGGCCAGGGAGGAATGAGTCTTTCAGAAGTGCTACTCACCTATCCTGCCCTCTCAGCATCTTGACTACAACTGTTGATGAGATTCACTGGGCATGTCAGACAATCCCTGGAGACATTCTTTACAAATGGGTATTACAGAGATAACTACAGAACTCCGGTGTGGAATGGAACCAAACGCACACACATCTATGCACGGACATTCCTCATCTAACAGCTGTGTTTCATTCCTGAGACTAGGTCATTAAGTGGATTAGATGCTAAGTGAGGAACTGGGTATAGTAGGTACATGACAATATTCAGAAAAAGAAGTGCTCAAAGGAAACAGCAACTTGATGACTTTGCTTGCATTTGCATAACTCTTACAAGCAGAACTGTAATGGATAACAGAACATAAAACTATAGTACTACTACCGTAAAATCAGCAAAAACTACAATACTATTTAAACCAGGTATATTGTACCAAAAAAGACATTAAGGCTCTATAAATAAGGTGTACAAAATTGTACAAAAAAAATGACATCTGGGGGAGGAGTGTACCCCACACCATGCCACACTACAGTGTACCATGCCACTCATGCCATGCCATAAT